CTTCTACAAGGCAATCGTGATTTTGACTGGCTGACTGGCCTTCTCCGAACGAAGAGTTAGTTGACTCATGCTGGATTCAATCCAGCCCTTTCGGGCCATGGTAGAGCCTTACTTATTGGCCAGCCCCTGTGTTATCAGACATGAAGCCCAGTAAAATGTTTCTTAGGAGGTCAAAGATGACACAGGAAGACACCAATCTTAGATACACTTTTATTTAGAATTCTAGGGTATTCTCAAATCCTTTAGATGAGGGAAAGTACATGACACTCAACTTCAAGAATCATAGAGCTCCATGTTCAAGAAATGAGGCTAATGAAGGCTAATCACGATAGAGTGGAGATTTTGACGGGTTCTCTGAGACAGGAGCAGAATTGCAATGGGATGAATTCTTTCAGTCTCGCAAGGATGGCGAGTTTTGGGGAAAATGATTAGTCTCGAGTTGGGCGTAAGCCCGTTCTCATGCTTCCGTGTAGGGTCTAGTACGGGTTTGGGCCCTCTCCCTGCCATAAAAATCTTTTTTACTTCTTCGAAATTAATGGATTGCCAAATTGCATAAAAGTAACCAAGCTCTGCAATATAAAGATATATTTCTACAGAGAAATGTAGATGATATGCTTGAGATGTGAATATGATGAATAGGGTCAATGTGACAGTAATTATGGGATAAGATGGTGGTCTATCCGGCCTAGACGATCAAACACCGGCTGCCCGGCTGTGTAAGTTTCGTGTCTGTCAAATTGCTAAGGATCAACTACTATGAGTCGAATGAGAGTGCCAAGAAACCCGTAGTCACATAGAATTACGGTTCACATAAAATTGCTAGTCCCCGTAGCTAATTACTATGCCCTCGTTCCAAGGTATATACCATCTCGCAACAATTCTATCATCGAGGTTAGCGTTGTCATCGTCGACTTCACCTCGAAAGTGAGAGCAGGGAGATGTAGAAAAATGGTCCAAAGAGGTCAGCGCTGTGAGGATCCCACGTAACCATTTCCTGGGAAGTAGAAGAAGCATGTTTCGTCACAAAATGCATTCTACGAGTGATTTCCTCCTCTTGAACCTTGGAACCACACTTAAATGAGAGTGGGAAAGTAAAGTAGTTTCCTGAAGATCCACAAGTTAGTAAGAAAATCCCAGGTAGATGTTTGCTATCAACTGGCCGACCTCGAAAAGACCGGAAACCCTTCCACCTTTCTAAATTAAGATACTATGCTGTTCACACCATAAAATGAATAAGGGGAACGTCAGGAAGCGAGCTTGTGGGGCACGGCACTTGACCTTTGTCGCACGCGACAATTTCGCGCGTTATCTAACAGTAGCCAAACGTCCCCATTCCTTTTTCACCTCAACAATAAAGAGGTATGCATATTTTATAAAGTCCCTATGACAAAAAAGGGCCTCCCAATTCATTCGCAATAGCTTTTATGAGAAATATGTACGAAAGTCGATTTATAGAATAGTCAATGTGCGGAAAATTGGTGAAACATCGGTGGACTGGATGCATCAACTGGAATTAGCGGACATATTAGCTTAGTAAATGCAAGTGAGGGTTTAGTTGCCGGTCGTAATTAGCCGGTCGCATTCGACGAGAACTTAAAGATCCCAAACTCTCTCAGGAAAACCCATAACTTGTTTGGATTAACCTGGTGAGTTATTCATTGCACTTTTTAATGTTGTAATGGTGTTTGTGTGCTTTTTCGGCTTGCGCGTTGTTTACAGCCCGTCGTAAACCCGGGAGTGGCATGAACCTCGGGTTCGGAGGGGAGGGAAGTCCCAGTTTCTAATAACCAATTGTAAAAAGTGTAGGTGAAACAAAAAGAGTAACATGATTCATTTCAGTTTTTCTCGAAGGAAATCATCACCATCATTCTGCCGGACGAACTTGGAAAAACGTAGGTCTGCGGTTACTCCATTACAGTACGTCGTTCAAAAGCTCACAAGAATGGGTAATAGGGCAAAACTATGGTCAGAGCAAAACCTTCGCCTCGGATGAGGCTTGAACCTGTACCCGCTATCCTTGTGAGATCAGTAGAAACTTCTAGGAGGGGCTTTTCCATAGGATCTCCGAAAACAACGCCTGTAAGCCGTACTCAGCTCAGCGATAGGAGGTTCTGAACCTCGTTAGTGGAGGAGGAAGTAAAGTGTAGGTAAGCCGACTTGTCCATCGACTGGCCAACGTAATTCATTGTAATACAGATACGCATTCAAGCAGTCCATGATTCGAAAGGAAAGTCGAACGCGATGCGCATCCCAGGGATAGAATTGGTCAACACTTGAAAACTTCATTCATGAAGTTTTACACATTTGTGTATCCTTTTTCTTCCATATTACGGAACTAGTTCAATTTTATAAACGGCGGACAGAAAAGAAATTGCAAAGAATGAAGGAGGAAATCATAAAGCAGCAGAATAGCTGAAGTGGGCTATAATATGAGATTGCTGAAGGATTACGGAAAAACGCTTCGCAATAGAACAAACCAGCCCAATCGAGTGTTGCCGAAAATGAATTGCAACTCACATTTGTTTGAGGAACGTTTCAACTTAACTTGTTTCCGAATGAATCAATTGAGCAAACACAAAAGGGCTTGAATGCCGCCCTTCTACTAGAATAGCGAAGTAATGGCTGGGCCTGGGACAGCGCAGAAATGCTCAGAATATCGAAAGGAAGAGCCGGAGATTCTAGCAATGCCCTAATCACGTTCTTCATTTGAATGGGGTCTCCGTTAAAGTCACTAAAGAGAGCTCTCATCAAATATTCACTGGCTGAGCTTTCATGAATAAAGGATTCGGAAGGGAGTCGAATGAAAAACGTTCACAAAAAGAACTCGGTGACGACAGAAAAAGAACTCTATGACTTCTCTACGTCACGGTAACTTCTTCGGAATCATTCCCCCTCAGGAATAAAACGAATAGCCATGAAGGTGCTCTGGTTTCTGTCACTTTTCAGGCTTTTTCAAATGGCATTTATTACAACGAAAGCTATTTTGGTCATAAAACCATCCACATCCGCCTCGAAAACTTAATAGTTGTCAACCATCGGATCCTTTGTTGCTTGAAGGCCAGCTGTTTCATATAGGAAAAGGCCGTGGAATAGTTTTCTATACCCGCTTGGGTATCCTATTCTCGCCGAGAGTAGAGGAGGCACTCTACTCATGTCAAAAATTGATGGGCGTAGAAAGTGACCAAGCCAGAATTGAACGCTGGGGCGGAAGGACTTCCCAACCAACTATTCCATAAAGTCAATTTTTTGTCCTTTGACGTATTCTTTCGAGTATGAAAGATATTCGTAGGGGCTGTCCCTTCAGCTGTCGTAGCTCATGGCCATACATCCAGCTCTTGTCCTTTGTGTTAAGAGAAGACGCTTTTAGTAACACGCTCTCTCGGTCTACCAGAACCAGAGCATGGTTTTTTCGTCAAATATCTTAGGCTGCGCATCCATTTTCGTCCTGTCTGGCAAATCCAATAGACTCAGACTTCTGCTAATGGCTGTATGAAACTCAGACTGATCCGGACTGGGCCCTTCAGACTCATCTCCACTAACTGCTCAGCCAGTCCTAGGAGCTTGTAAAAAGTCTGAAACCAATCCTGGTCAACGTTCTGTTTAGAAGTTCTTCAATTCTTGTGAAACCTGCTCTCCGAACTTTGACACTTTCTTGAGGAGATGATGTGGGTCCGAGAGAGGCGCTATAATATGAATACTAAAGGGATCAAATCTCGAGTTGTTACCTTCCCAAGCCACCAGATCTTCATAGATGGTTAATTGGCGCTAGACTAGCCTGGGAAGATTACAACGCATCAACTGATCACCACGAGTCACTGTGTATACATTTAAATGCTACGGAGATTTATCAAGCCTCATTGCATCTTCCAACGTACGGCGGATCGAATCTCGACGATCTTATTAAGGTGTTGAACAGTATTATAAATTCTACTTTCTAAATTTTATGGTTGTTTGATTGTAAACCTCACAAAAAGGTCGAATTCTCTCTAGGGTGCCCTCTTTACCATAGTAAGGGCTCGTGTCTGATTGCCGTTCCACCTACGCGTCCACCCCGTCTCTACGCAATTATGTTCTTAGTCAGGCTAAGCGACTCAAAAAGTTTCTAATGTGGCGTATGCATTAAGTAACAAGTCCTGAAGACCAAATGAATGCACTTTAATGTTGCATTTTTCACGATCTCTTGCTAACAGCAAGACGACTGTTAAGCCACATCGGTGAGCTACTTATATGGGCACGTTAGGGTCACATTTTTTTCTTTATCAGCTGTAATTGCACACGTCGCACATTTTGGGACGTTTGACTTCACAACATCATTCCTCAGTGAACTATTTTCATTGCTTTTTCTCAGGCGGTTCAGAAAACTATTATTCCATCACTGTAAAAGAAGCTGGAGCAGACTGTGGCACAGATAACCTCTTCTTCGGAACATTACTTAGAAGGTAGTAAAGTTCGGTGAGGCGTAGGGCAAAGCTTACAGATAACTAGTGGGTTTAAACAGTGCGTTCATATCAAGTAGTGTGGGCATTTCCTATCCATACACTTTATCAGCTCCTACTGGGGCGATAGAAGTTTAAATATGTAGGCCACTCGACGATGATCAACTGGTATGCGTCATGCATACAATTTCCAATCAAAATGGTGAAAATTCCTTAATAGTTGCTTGGTTTAGGACGAGATCGCGGTGTGGAGGGCCTGTCTGTCTACACTGATTAAGGTTCAGTTAGCAAGATCCGTGATAACAGAAGACCAGTGGTTGCCTTCACTGGAGTTTGATGTTACAAGAGAACCTTAATTCATCCACAGAAACCTCAGGATTGTTTGTGTAGGTAGAGATACATAAAGTAATTCATGGATGGGCTCCCAAGTTCCTGATTCCCTTCACTGACTGGTTGCTCCTTAGCTACTCGGAAGTTTTTCGATTTAGCAAATTCATGAACAATTTAAACATGCGTTTCACTTTTTTAGAGTAGTAAAGCACTTCATTCGTCCAGGATTATGACTTATGATTTGGATTTCGATCTGGTAGGGCAATGGCAGTAGCTAGCATCCTCTCCAGGCGATCCCATAGGTCCTATGCCGCCGTCGAATCCAGACGGACCTTCTGGTCCAGCTTCTCCAGGCTCTCCTGGTGGTCCCATTGGACCAGCGATTCCCTGAAAGAAATTTTTTTCAGCTTTCTCTTCTAACAAACCTTACGGATATGCTGACTTACTGGGTTTCCTGCACTTCCTTCAGGTCCGGGGAAACCGGGTGGTCCAGTCATTCCACGCTCTCCAGGTTCTCCAGGTGGACCTTTGCCCATCGTCGCTCCGTCTCGTCCCTTTTCTCCTGGTGGCCCAACATTTCCAGGTGTTCCCGGTTCTCCGGGCAGACCAGGCATTCCAGGAAGTCCAGGATGGCCATCTGGACCAGGCATACCGTCCGTTCCGGACATTCCTTCTAGACCAGGTGGCCCAGGTTGTCCAGTAGGTCCAGGAGGTCCAGGTGGACCATTCGGGCACATGCGGCATTGTTCAGTGGAATGCATCATCACCGATGGCATATTACCTGTCATACCCGGAGCTCCAGGAGGTCCAGGGAGACCTGGGGCGCCATCCAATCCTGGGGCACCTGGTTCTCCGGGAGCTCCTGGAGGACAGTTGGCATTTGCGTTGCAATCTGCAAAATATTTTTAAGCTCCTGTAATATTATAGACGTTAAACATAACTACTTACTGCAGTTGTAGCTCTGCCTCTTTGTTCTTGCCACAACTTCTGCCATCACCCTCTTTTCGCCCTTGATATTTGTCCAGACGCCGTTTTGCAGCTGACGGAACTCTTCCATGTCCTACAAAAGAGCTTAAAAGCTGGTAAAGTAGGAAAGCACACTTTTCAATTGAGACTAGTAATCACCTTATGAAGATCAATCGTTATGGTGTTGATTTTGTCCCAGAGAGCCGGTACAAATAGGCTGACTATAACCAGCGCTATGCTGGAACAGCCCATGGCGGTGTAACCCGCCAACCGAGCGGACATCTGCAAGTCAGTCGGATTAACCTAATCAGCAGATAATCATTATAACTCATTATCATTAACAGAGCATTTTGCTAAGCAATAACGTAAAGAACGGATTCTTAAAGAAGTGGAAATGAAAATCTACCCGTAAAACCAGCATTACCCTACGGAGGCTGTCGGGCAATTTGCAGACATAAAGGGAGGAACTCGGACTTGTGGTCTTTGTCTTCTAAAGCCATCGGGACGATACTCTGAATAGCGCCCACCGGGGTACGACAATCCTCGATTTCCCCAAAATTATCTTGGTAATCAGAAATACTTCAAAGGCCGGACATCAACCTACATGGTTGTAAGCCGTACTCTAGAAATTTCCTGACAATTTAGACCCCCCAAACAACGTTACCACGACAAAACAGTAGGATACTGAAGCCCTCGGTGCCTCTACTGAAAACAAACAAGGAGGAATAGAACAAGGACAATCGGATCCACAAGACGGGATACGATGTCCAGCAGCATGTCGCCTGGGCGCCTTATAAGCTTCGCTTGACTCCGCCTACAAACTGGATGAGAAGTGATCGGAAAAACTTTAGCGTAATGAGAAAAGAACGACGAATGCTTTCAAGGAGTTCCGATGTTCGACGACTTGAATTCGAACGTCACTACAAACCCTGCTGTAAACCCATAAAGGCAAGACGATTCCTAAATTGATAGCTCCAGCTCGTTCTCAGTTCTCGCCGCAGACCCTGTTCCGTCCTCGGGCAGTAATCGGTAGCTACGTCAGGCTCGCACACTATTTCTTTACAGTATTCACCTTTCGCTTAGCGTTTACTGAAAAATTCAGGTTCAACAATAGACGAGCCCTGTGGGAGAGGTTCCGAACGTCCTTATAATGCCCGTAGTTGTGCAACCAGGCAGCTGGAGCTTTGCGCGCCTAGTGGGCCATGCATTGGGGTATAGATCGATTTATCAAAAAACTAAATTCGCTGTGGATCATTTGAACATTTGGAAAAATGCACAAAAGTGTAGTGTCTGCCCATGAATTTCAAGTCCTCAAAAGCGGAGATCCTTGAGGGTCGTTGTGTCCATGGCGCAGTGCTGGATAAAGTTCGACACAATTCCATTTCCTGAGTTTCCTTGAACTTCGATAATTGAGACCTTAGTTTTATGACACATCGACAACACCGTCGCTATTCCAACCAGCTATCTAGTTCGTTATACTTGGCGTACCAGCCACCCGATTGAGATAGCTATCAATCTTTCACGAACAGTGTAGCTATGAAGAATGAGCTTAGATGACTAACAAACCAGTTATTTACTACCTTGTGTTTATGAACAGAAATTGTATCGAATTGGAAGCATGGCGAGTCATGGCGAGCAAAGCGCCTGATCTCGGACGGGGTTCGAGCCTGCACTTCATCTTTCCGGACAGTACAAGTAGGGGTTCGGTTCGAGTTCCACCCAAGGTCGAGCGTCTCACGTGCATATCACCATCCTAATGAGACATTCGCATCTCGTACATCTAGAGAACCATGTGTTGTGTCTCAGTTTCCAATCATGCTCAAACAGAGAGCGACGGCTAGTCTGTCAACTATGCTGTTAGTAGTAACAGTACACTCAAAACTCGAGTGAGTCGTTTCACCTCTGCACTTCTATCAGTTAGCTCCTACCTGAACCATAAAAGCGGTAGCCGAATCAACTACTTTCGATGGTGATTACTAGTTTTTCTAAGTCCCATTAAATTTACATCTTGCAGCCATACGACTGCAATCATTCCGTACTTCTGGCAAGTTGATGTCCTTCAAGGCAAACCACCCACAATTATGACCCTCGACAGTTGTTGCCTGGAATTGGTTGGCAATCATTTTTTTCTGCTGGCCATAAGAGCTCCAGAGAGATGCGAACCTGTTTCGTTGATACCTTTCTGTAATGCTCTCCAGCCATTACTGGCAACAGATTCTGTAGTATCCTGAAATCTTCGGGTCTGTTGCGATGAACATTTTTCAAAAGTGTCATGAGGGTTTCCCTGCATTGGCCATATATTTGAAGGAGTGGTGTAGGATTTAGGGTAGGATTGAAGGGAGCAGAGTTCGAAATATAAGGAGCTCAAAAAGTTAATATTGGCTTCAAAATATGATGGATCTTTGCCATTATGCTGAAGTCAAAGGAATCTTGTCCAGAGGGTGGTACCGAAGGGGTATCTAGAGTAAGGGCACAAAGGCTCATTTCTGAACCTCTTTCGAGAAAAACTTCTCGAAACAGCCCCACACTTCAAAAGGCGATCAAAGTGCAAAGCGAATGTAGCCACTATTCAAATCATATGTTAGCTGCACGGCGCATTCCACAACAGACGGCTCAACACCCAACACTTTCTGTTCGGTGGAATCAGCCGCAACCGGTTACCTTCGCTGTAATTTGTATTGGAACTTTTTGGCTTTCAATTTAGTTCTTCAGTGCTAGAAAAACAGTCAACCATAAATCAAAGTAGATCGTATTGGCTAAGTTCACTTCACTGCAAAAGAGAGTGCATGCTCGAAATCATTGAGAGGTCTCCAAAACTTGTTGGAAGGCGCGATGCTTTAGTTTGAAGCAATTCCTAGTTGCCCATGTTTGCATAACGACCATTTTTCTATGCGCAAGTTGTTATTCCTCTCGTTTGTATGCCTAACTCAATGGCTAACAATACCAGGTTTCACGTCTAAGGCGCCTGTTCTGCGACGAGACAGTCTATCCTCACGAAGGTCTCCTTGACTGGGAGACGGGCAGGTGGATCAGCAGCCACCTACACCAAAAAAAAATGATGAATGATTTGACTAATCAACCGCCTGGTCTGGGACCCTCGTTATTGTCACCGACGGTTGATGTTTGAAGAACAAGAGCATCTCCCAGAGTTCACTCCGAAATGAGAACTTTGCTGTTTTTGAAAACCTCAATGAGCAGGTTCAAATAAATTTGTATCTTTAAGAAAAAAAAGAGACCAAATATGATTTATCAAGAATTCTAAATAAAATTTAAAAAAAATATACCCGCTGAAAATAGCTTCTAGGGGGTACCGGGAGCTCGTTCCCACTCTCTGCTGTATGTGTATTTAATGAAAGCCCTTTCCGAAGATGTCGACCTCGACAGGCTCACCAGCACCACACCCTGCAAAGGCTTCTGGACCTTAATGATGCTTTTAAAATCGTTTTAATTTACATTAATCATTGCTGCAACGTTCAATCAGCCCGGATCCAGTACGTGGAGCTGGTTTTGGAGGCACACTTCCCAATGGGATGATGTATGGCTGGTGGCTTGAAAAATGGACCCTTCGATTATTGTGGAGAAAGCGAAAAAACGAGCCTGAGAAAAATCGGAAAAATCGAGCTCTCCTTTTACGAGTATTTTTACAAGTATCGCTCATCGTTTCTGAAGGAACCTTAGACAGAAGCGACACAGCCAGTCTGATAATGAGACATGAGCGGTTTACTCTTTCTGTGTATTTTTAATGACGAATACACCACGTAAGACTGTTGTTAAGCCAACACTTCCAGTCCAAACATCCCTCAAAATGTAGAAACACTTTTTTCCGCTGTTCCACTAAGGGAAATTTTATGAAGTTCGGTCATAGTATGAGTCAGAACGTTCTACATTTCGATCTGTTCCATAATTCTCTTCTACCATCCGTACAGGTGTAATAAGGTGAACTGGGCATGTTCTCAGCGATATCTCTGGCCGAGTACGTCACTTTTTCAGCTACGAATCACAATTTGATACCTCACAAGTTTCAGCGACCCATCCCATCAGCTAGGCAGTTTTCGCAGAAGAAAAGTGTATGACAGGTCGTCTGGATAGCCGCGGTGAGACTGCTAGAGCCATAATTTTTTTTTTCTGGGGACCCATGATTTTGCTTTCGGTTTAAGTCGTCTGCCCTCGTTCCTCCCTCACTCCTAGTTCATCATCTCCCGAGAGCTCTTTCTGCTGAGATGCTCCTTCAGTGGAGGACTGGGATAAGGCCCAGGTAGTGCCTACCCACGCTCTCCAATCAGTCCTTTACCCATTTCTGATTGAATATTCGTAGGGATCCAGTGAGGATTCAAGAGAGAAATAGGCTTCGCAAGGGATATGTCTTCCCATAAATGGTTTTTTATCGCGCTCATTTGCTTTGATTGCGTCAG